CCTACCAGATTTTTCAACCTTGCCGAGAACTTTTTCCAACGGCTGATCAGTTAAGACCACTATCTGATGGCAATCAAAATAGGGCCTTAGCTTCCGAGCAGCTACTACTACCGCGAAAGCGACTTTCTCGAGTAGAGGGTAGCGAGTCTCGGCATACGTCAGTGTATGACTGACGAAGTAGATCGGTTGCTGACTTTTACTTTCTTCCTTCAGCAATACTGCGCTGATGGTGGCCGGGCTAACGGCCACATACAGGTACAAAGTTTCAACTTCAGCTGGGCTAGCCAGCGTTGGGAGTTGAGCCAGATGCTCCGAAGCTGCTTAAAGGCGTCTTTCTGCTCTTCCTCCCAAACGAGCTCTTTTATTTTCGGGAGTTTCAGGGCTTTGAAGAAAGGTAACCCCTTATCCGAAGCTCTGGAAATGAACCTCGAGAGGGCTGCCATTCTTCCGGTGAGCCGCTGAACATCCCGCTTCGTTTTCGGCTCAGGAAGGTCGAGCGCCGCTTTGACTTTGGAGGGATTGGCATCAATCCCCCTTTTGCTGACTATGAACCCAAGGAATTTCCCTGACTTCACGCCGAAGACACACTTCTTCGGATTCAGCTTCATTTGATGCTTTCTTAAGGTGGCGAAAGTTTCGGCCAGGTCCTTAACATGGTCCTCAGGTTTTTTGCTTTTGACGATCGAATCGTCGACATAGACTTCCATGTTTCGGCCCTTTTGATCGGCAAAAACTTGATCCACCAGTCTTTGATAGGTTGCCCCCGCATTTTTCAATCCGAAGGGCATCATTTTGTAATTGTACACCCCAGCGTTCGTGACGAATGCTGTCTTTGCTCGATCGTCGGGGTGCATGAAGATCTGATGATACCCCGAGAATGCGTCCATGAAACTAAGCAAGGCATGGCCACTTGTCGAATCAACTAGCTGATCGATCCTCGACAAGGGATAGATTTCCTTCGGACAAGCCTTATTTAGGTCCGTGAAGTCAACGCACATCCTCCAGGTACCATTGGGCTTCTGAACCATCACCACATTTGCCAGCCATTCTGAATATTGGCAAGGTTCGATGAATCCTGCCTCCAGCAATTTTTTGACCTCGGCTGCGATGTCTCGGTTCTTATTAGCGGAGTAATTCCGCTTCTTTTGTTTAACTGGTCGACACGTTGGGTCAACATTAAGCTTATGGGAGATGAGGTCTGAACTTATCCCGGGCATATCAGCTGCCGAGAAAGCAAACACATCTCTGTTGTCCCGAAGGAGCTGAATAAGTTCACAACGGGTGTTCGGATCAAGGTCCATCCCGATTGTTACACATTTCTCAACGTCTCCTTCGGCCAACCCAACTGTTTCAGTCTGTTGGTCCATGTCCATTGCTGATGGACTGTACTCTTCATAATCTGGCCTGCTGCCAATGTCAGCAGGTGTCCCAGTCTTTTTGTTCTTCGGCTGGCTCTCTGAGTCTTGCGGCTCAGCTGAAGAGCTAGCCTTTTCCCTTTCGGGCCCTTTACCTCTGGGTACAGATCCTTGAGCCGAAGCACTTAGGCCTTTCGGCTTTTTGGTGCTTGGCTCTCTTTCTTTTTCTTTCTCCTCCTCATCCTTGTCGTCATCTGGGCGACTACTGGATGGCTTGAGGTAGTTGCACCTTCGGGCGTCCTTTTGGTTGCTCTGTATCCTTTCGGGGAAGCCGGCGTCTGAGACGTAAATCATCAGCTGGTGATAAGTTGAGACGACCCCTTGGATCTCATGAACTATGGGTCTCCCCAAAATCACGTTGTACACTGAAGGAGCGTCAATGACCAAAAATTCAATCATGACGTTCCTGGCTGCCTCATCGCAGCCGATGGTGACAGGAAGTGTCACCTTCCCATCTGGATAAGTTGAAGCCCCGTTGAACCCGGATACCGGGTAGGGTACCGGCGTAAGGTGCTTGGGCTTCAGCTTGATTTGATTGTAGGCCTTTCGGAACAGAATGTTTGCTCCGCTGCCACCGTCAACAAGGACCTTACTGACGTCGTGGTTGGCCACCGTGGCGATGATCACCAACGGATCCTCGTGAGGGAACGTAATCCCCCGACAGTCGGCGGCTGTGAACGTCATGTTCGGCACCGGCGACTGGGGAGATTGAATGTCAGCGTTGTTCACCTGGTGAGTCAAAGCTCTAAGGTGTCGCTTGTGCTCCCTCCGAGAGTATATTCCTCCCGAGATAACATTGATCAGAGGGAATTTCCTCTCCGGCTTTTTACTGTTTTTCCGGGGGAAGTCGAGGTCTTGCCGAGAGTCCTTTGCTGACTTCTCGGATTCTTTTTTCTCGCGGTGATCCGCGATGTATTTTTTCAAGTATCCCTTCCGGACCATGTCCTCTATCTGGTCCTTCAGTTGGATACACTCCTCAATGTTGTGTCCCGAAGACTCGTGGAACTCGCACCACTGATTTTTATTTTTTCGCTGATACCACTCTGGGAGTGGTCTCGGCTTTCGGTAACTCTGCTCCTCCTTCGTCACGCTGTAAATTTTGGCGCGTGGAAGAGAGAGCGGAGTGTAGGACTCGTATCTGCCTGTGTATGAGGCAGATCTTTCCTTCTTTGGGTCGCTGGCCGAAGATTGCTCCGAGGCCTTTGACTTTCCCTTTGCCTTATGGCCTTGGCCTTCAGACAAGGGTATTTGTCTTTGTTTCCCTCCCCCAAATTGAGGTTGGGTTTTCGCTTTGTTCCATTCTTCGGCTCGGATGAACTTATCCGAGGCATTCAGAGCTTCCTCCAAGGTCTGCGGGGTATGCATGACCATGAAGTCTAGGAACTTTCCGGGCTGAAGGCCATTCTGCATTGCAAAAACGGCTAGCCCCTGGTCCAGCTGAGAGACGCTGGATGACTCGTTACTGAAACAGGTTAGATAGTCTCGGAGGCTTTCGGTTTCCCCCTGTTGTAGACTCATGAGCTCTGCAGTAGTCTTCTCTCGGCGGTTTGCCGTGGAAAACTTGCTCCTGAACTTGGAGGACAGATCATCCCACCCTGTTATGGAGCCTTGCCTTACTCCCTTGGAGATCCACGCTTGCGCGACCCCCTTGAGAGTGGTTGGGAAATATTTGCACCAAGTCGCTTCGGATCTGGGGCAAAGATGCATATGAGTCTCATACGAGGCCACGTGATCCTTCGGATCCGAGGTCCCGTCATATGTGATGTGCGACGGTATTTTAACCGTGGGCACGCGCTCTTCCAGTATCCATTGCTCGAATGGTGAACTAGCGGGTAGCATAACGGCCTTGCCCTTGTTCCTGGCCGAAGGGACCGCGCTCCGCCCTCTTAGAGAGGTAGGAGTGGTTTTCGTCCCTGGCTGGGAAGTCTGGGCCTCGGCTGCAGGGAACGAGAGGCGACTGCGCACACTCGGTTCCTTGCCGCCGAGTCGGTCGAGGACGCTTCGGCGAACCATCTCAGGTTCTCGGTGAGTAGATTCTGGCCGAGAAGCTGAGCTGCTGCTCTTATGCGTTTCTGGTCGTGAGGATGAGGATCCTTTTAAAAATTGAGGGTTCTTTTTCCTCTCTTTTTCATTCTTCCAGGTATCCTCTTCCCACTCTTCCAGTTCCCGGAAGGAAGGAAGCTTCCCACCATCATGGTCTAACTTCCTCCGCTGATGCCGGGTATGCGGAGGAGTTCGATCACGAGGTGGTGGCATATTTTGTGCCCTCATCGCCTCCATGAGTACTGCCAGCGCTCTTGCCACCTCTTCCGAGCTGGGCCCCGTCAAAGGGGTCCTCGGCCGAGTATGGGAATGAGGGCGCACAACCGATGGTTGGCTTTGGGGCACTGAATGTGTCCTATGATCGGACTCACCCCTGCTAGACCGAGAGTGACTCGGCCTATGATGAGAGTCATGAATTACGGGAGAAAGGGAATCCTCCTTGTATGATCCTCCCCCGAGCTGGCACCCTTGGGAGAGTTCCGGTCCGGCGAGGGTGATGGTGTAGGGGTTTTAGGCTTTTCGCCCGCTCCTTGACGGAGGCTTTTGCTCTTGCGGTTCTTAGCCATTGCTACTAAGATAATTGCAAGATGATCTTGGTTAGAAATTTGGCTTAAAGATTTTTGAAAGTCGTCCCCACAGACGGCGCCAAATTGTTTCGGGTGAAAACAATGGGACCTTGCCGAAGGTCCGCTGAAACGGAGAAGACTAGATTCGGTCCAAGTTATGTTGGGCCGAAGGTTTCCTGCACAGTAAACACACGTAAACTAGCCTCGGGGGTGTTGCCGAGGAAGGCCCCTCCGATGCTAAAGTCAGTACAATGTGTAGAAAGAGAACACTATGCAAGAGAATTAGTTGCTTGAGGCTTTGCTTGAATATATGAGAATATATGAGAATGTATGGGAATCTATGAGAATATGTGAATGAATGAATATATCTGAATATTGATGGCTTTTATACCTCTTCATACATGGAGAAGTTGGGCCTTAGCCCAATTGGCTTGCTTTGAGGGCTGACCTTTGACTTTAGCACAATTGGAGAGTTGAACCTTGAACTTGGGCTTTTAATTGGATCATTTAATGCCTAGGCCCAATTGGACTAAATTGGACCCAAACATATATATATATATATATTTCCACATTTGTATAGGCAATTAAGGACTTGTACCAATTATAATCCATTATATATTGTACGATAATTATATGAATGCACCGCTACTTGGTAAAGGCCAATATATTTCATGTTACATATTGTAAGGCTATATTTGGAATGTACTACTACAATGCGTATCACATAAAAACTTCCAAATATTATTTTGCTCATAACTCCCTAAACTTCTAATTATGAATATTTAATGTATAAATAAATGTGTTGTTTATTGTGAGAATAACGTTGATGTTTATTTTGTTACGTTTTTGCATGCGTTATGTATTAAAGAGAGTTATACAATAAATATATACTCCGTACAATGGTTTTGCTGTATGTATATATAACTAATTAATTAATTAGCGTATGATTTTGTAAGAGTTAATAAGAAGAGATTACCTAGAATTGCCACAGACTCTCGGAGATTCATTCCTTTGCTCATGAAAATTTGAAGTAATTGATCGACGTCGATGCTAGTGGAAGGAAGATGAACATCAGCTTGTTGGGTGCTACAAGTCCTAGAGTCCTTTCTTCCAAGAGGAATTTGTATTGAAGGTCCACCCGAGAGCGCGACCGAGTCCCTTGCTGCTAGAGCAATTATGTCTGCACAAGAGACTTGCCTTGGACATGCGGCTTCCAAGACGAATTTTAGTTTACCAATTGCTTCAAATTTTCTGATCCCGAAGTTCTTGGAACATTTCATTTCCGAGTCTTTTGAATTCAGTAGAATTGATGCATCACATCCCTAAGCAGAATTCAAAGTTATTGAGTTATTCGTTTTAAAATTTTGGTTCAATCTAAACCAAAATTATTATGCTTTCCCTGTATTTTCATTTGCAACGGATGCTTTTTACACTATGCACGTATTCTTTTATTTTGCCTATAATTGATGGTTTATTCATAAGAAACACATATGTGTAATATATCTTATTATACATACGTACTTTCATCTAACATATTAATGTTCACCCAAAAAAAAAAAAATGTATACGACGGTTAAAATTTTAGTATATTAATTTATTGACAAGAGTGAAAATTAAAACGACTTTAAGGTAAAACCCACGAGAATAACAGTGATATACTATAGGTAGAACTAAATTTGGTGGACTACTATTCAAGGAAAGATCACACAGTTAGGTCTTCATCAATCATGATTGATTGTGAAAGGTAATAATAAATGAATGAAAGTGGCGGTGTTAAATATGGCATGAAAATAGCGTGATAATGTAAAAACATAAAGCAATTTATCAAAAATGAGGTTAAAACTTGAAAGGAAAGGAAATCATTCATCTACTAACTTACGTAAATAAATGATAACTAATGTCATAATTTATTATTAATAATTCACCGAAAGCACATGATGAGTTATGAAATTATGTACATGAATGTATGGACGTAAAACAATCAGAAATCGGAGCTTTTAATTTGTTATTTTCGGACCACAAATTACAAATATATATTCTTCTGAATAATTGACCTTCTAATATTCTAATGCAGAAGCGCAACCTTTAGTCAACAATCAACAATAAAATTAATGACCATAACGTATCATTTTTCACCTGGTTAGATAAATGTTTTTTTAAGGTCAAGAAGAAATTAGAAATGTGTAAAAGTTAAAATGATGTAACTATAAAGAACGGAAAATGTATCTTTTAATTTTGTTTATTTGAGTTTTTTTACACTAAATACAATAAGCCATCACTAACATACACTTAAATTGTTTTAAGGTAACCTTAAAAAAGTTATTATTTTTAGGTTGTGCACTAGAATTTACAAGGTGTTAATCTTCGTGTTTATGTTATTAATTTTAAATATATTAACATTGATTCATTGATGACATATAATATATGAAATGAAGTGTTATTTGAGTTGCCATCAAATGCATGGAAAACGAAGTAGTATTAGAATTGTATGATGACATGTTTATTAAAAGTCAACCTATAAAATTAATTTTGTTTGCTATTCCATAGTTAGAGAGACATATCCTTTTCATAATAAATGAAAATTTTAGGTCTACCTAAGTGTAGATAAGATGTTTAATTTCATGTAATGTCTATTTCAGCCAATGGCAGGCCAAAAATAAAATAAATTATGGAGGTAACATTGTAATTACTTACGCTTCACCCACCCTAAAATTATTGAAAAAGTTTGAATTGCTATGATGTATAAATTATCTCAAATAATATAAGCTCCAATGTTCAGCTTCAATTCAGTTCAGCTTCAATCGATTCAGTTTAGTTTAGTTCCTAATTTCCTTCTTTCATAAAATATTCAATTCAGTGCAGTACAGTTGATCAGTTTAGTAAATCAGAACAGGCCCTGAATGTGTAGCTAGATTGATATACTTAGTAGAGGCTAGCTAGTACACTACTAAGACAATTAGTTAACCCATAAAAGTTTAGTTACACGTCACTCTAACTCCATTAATTTTGAGCAACAAAGTACTTGCTAAGTTGCCATAAGCCCATAGCTCAATGCTTTCATTATTAATTCTATAGAGTACTTGAGACTGTAATTTTTCAGTTGTTAGTTGGCAATTCAATTCTAAAAGGAATTCCTTTTTTCAAGGGATAATAATAGGAGTGTGACGAAAGCAAGAACAACATGACAATAGAAAGGTTAAATTCTGTAGAAGAGAAAATGAAAAATTATATTCATAGTACAGTATATTTCTTAGCTTCTTTCGAAATTAGTTGTCACGTAGTCAGGAAAGATTACGTATATTTAATTAACTACTCTTTTCACCCTGGTATGTGACATAATATTTACTGTAAAATGAGACGATAGGTACATATATATAAAGTACTATGGATATAGACTTTTAAAAACAGAAATAAAGTAGGCGTATGTATAAAAAGAAATTGAAAATTATGTATACAATCCCGCGAAAAATAGACTAGTGCACCCAAACAAGATTCGCTTCTATGTTTTGGATATTGATCACCTTAAGAATTGAATCAAGTTGACATTCGTTTATAAGTATAGTTTGTACTTGTATATTTGTAATAGTAGTTTGCATATATCATAATAACTGCAATAAATTAAATTTTAATAAAATCACCTATTACTAACAAAGTATACATTAAACCTGAGTTTTCAAAAAAAAAAAAAAAAAAAAAGTATACATTAAAAGTACCCTTGTTTCTCAAACGGAAAACACTACATACCAATATTTGAATATATCACAAACAATGACAACTAAGTGAACTAACTATGAGTACGTACGTTGATATTATGAGCAATCAAAGTGTATTTTACTTTTCTTTTTTTTTTAAAGGGTGGTTTTTACTAGTAAGAAAAATTATGACATTGGGGTGGTTAAAGTAGTGGATCAACTGAATTAATTTAAGCAATTAGATATCTAATGAAATCAACAACGAACCAATAAGATATTATTGAGCTAGTAGTACGCACTTCGTATATGATTTACAAGAATTACAACTAACCTAAAATTTCTATAACAATGACCTCTATAAGTTCCCGAGATTCCTAAACATTCCCGTTATATGCATTTTAAGTATATATCTATATATATCACGATGATTAATTTGGCATCACAATCGCAAATACAAAAAGATTATATATGAAATAAACTAATATAGAAGGGGTATATATGTAATTACCTGAACTTGGCAGTCATGAAACAATAAGCGAAGAAAGGCAGCAGGAGAAGAAACATCAGTTGCAAAGATGCTTAACATCTCTTTTCTAACAATGTCTTCTAAAAATGGACATGAAGTTTCATAGTAGTTGTAATCTAACTGATTATAAGCTTCATTTTTTGTAGCACATAAACTAAGTATCACAATACTAAGATGTATTACTCTCCAACTTTCCATTTTCTCTGAAAAGTTATTTTCCAAGATCAATTGAAAGAGTTTGGTATGTTAGTTATGTATATATTATTATTATATATATAGGGTGTCAGTCCATTCATCTAGTGGTACGTTAAATTATTATGAAGCATATATTTATATTTTTTTTATTTTTTAAATTGATACATTATTAAATTTGTGCTCTATGTCACATTTTAGGGGAAGTAAATGCCTTTTACTTGTAAAAGGGTGCATTCAATATTTTTGTGTTTTGTCATTTAAAAATTATCTTACCCCAAACAAGTCTAGAAAACTACAGTACTACTTTTTTTTTTACATGTTCTTTATTGTCTCGATGTTTCATGATCTTTTTTTTTTAGGGTCAAAGTGTCAAGACTAGTCTAATGTAGTTGTTATTGTGATGAAAATTTGTCTAATTTTATGCATTAATATTCAAATACCTAATTAATAATTAGTACATATATACATAACCATGAGACAGCAATAAAATTAAAAAATCATTTGACTATTATCTTTATCTAGCAAGGATTAGAATTACATAGTTGTAGACTTAAGCCTTATTTATATACTTCACTTATGGTTACAAACTTACAGTAAGATACGTAGTATAAATTAAAGGGTTTTTTTTTTTCACCATATACCCTTAAAATTTCACTTGTTCATTGTTTTTTTTTAAGTTTAAAAAAATCTACCCAAGTACTACTTGTACCATTAACGCTACCAAATCGCTAACTTGCCAAACACATTTACTTCAAACGTTATTTCAAAACGCTAATCGTTACTTCAAACGCTACCGATGAACATGACCTTAAGCTACGAAGTATTAAAGTAGTTTTTCGTCCCATTGTCCTCTTCATATCTGTTATTCCTTTTCACTTACCACTTCATATCTGTTACTCCTTTGTATGTAGTATGTACTATACTTGGCTGCTAATTTGGGTTGTGTAGTAATTGACAATGCAAAGTTTGCAAAAGAATTTCTAGAGTTTTGGTATTCAAAAAAAGTTGAAATTTAGTGACCGACTCAAACAATTAGAGGTTGGTTTGCTATCAGAACTTCTGACAATATGCCTGCCAAAAACAGAGCAAAAACACCCACAAATTGAGCAAAATTGATTATGAATTGTATGTCAAAATTTATTGTTGTTAATTTGGTCTTTCCTCTTTTCAACCAATATGCCTCAATACTATGCACATTTCACCAATTATAACTGGTTAGTCGTTGGTTTAACTGATAAAGGATTTGTTGTGCATTTATTTTCCTTCTTTCTTTTTCACATGACATTCAACTTTGTCTTTTACAGTTGAAGAAGTCATGTTTTAAAACTTAAAAGTACAAGTTCTAATACAAGTTCATGAAAAAGATAGGAAATACAGTATATTGGTGATTTAATCTAGGTAAAGACTTACTTCCGTGAAAAGGATAATTTGTTTCGATCAGATCGATGTGATAGATCACGAAGGCAAGAACACGAAAGTTACTGGCTGTAGTGTAAAGGAGCCAAGTTTTTGTGAATTGATTTGTTTCTACTGCATTACTTAATCCCCGAGTTTTAAGATTAAACAACGGGCAATAAGCTTAGTGGTAGAACGCGTCCTTGATAATTATGTACTTACGAATGTCCTTTTATGGAATTGTGGGCTCTGTAATTATAAATGACCATGTTTAATAACTTGCCCCATTCTGTATATGCAACCAATTGAAAAATGACCAAGCAGCAATTTCTTGGTTGGATGATAATAAGACTTCTACTCAACCAGCTCATTTTCCAGCATACACATCCCATCAATGTTTCATATGTACTAGTATTATTATTAAGAATTACTGTAAACAAAATTTAGTAAATTAGCTAAAGCCTAGATGTTTGTCCAATAATAAAACTGTGCTCTGCACTATCAACTAGGAAAGCAATCAAGGACTTACAAACTTGAAGCTAATCATTTCTTTTCTCGAGCTCTTCTAGCAACGGTTTCATTCCATCCTTTCTGGCGTGCTCTTTGCTCCCACATTGCGGTTATCTTTCTCTGTGCTTCTAAGGCTTCCTCGGCTCTTTCTCTTGCCTCTTCGCAAGTTTCCATGCCTGAGTTGCACTTATCTGCCTCTTTCTGATACTGAGACGCGAACTTCTTAGCTTCTAGCAACCCCATATCAGATCTTCGCTGGTTTTCTGAGGCTTCGGCCTCTTTTTGTCTCAGCTCGTCTGCCACAAGATCTGCAAAGTGCTTCTCCATTTCTTCACTAACCTCAGGATCATGCTTCATACAATCTGAAAGAGTAAAAACATCCAGAAGAATATCAGCATATCATCATATAATTTCACCCCTTGGCTTGAAGTACATCATGAATTTCATAACTTTAAAAAACCCTAACCTGTAAATGATCTGTTCAGTCCTGTAACAAAAGCAAACAGATGAATCTGGTTAGAGAGTCGCGAGTTACAAGTGAGTCACAGATAAATCAGTTTTCTTGAGAAATGTATTATTAAGCTTAACTAATACTCCTATTAGGGTTATAATGTAGTATAATTTAGAGCAAATTTTAGGTAAATGGTGGCTTGCCATATTCTAGAATATTAAGTATGCTTTAGGTCATTATTGAAACAAGATGCATTTTATTACTAGTATATAGAAAATAAAAGTATTCCATTTATAAAACAGTGTGTATATTGTATGGGTTTTTGGACAATTTCTTTCATACACAGGAGTGCCAGTCCAAGAAGCCTGTTGCCTGTTGGTGCAGAGAGCCAAATTGTGTGGAAATAAAAAATCTATATAGAAAATTAGAAAGCTATGATAATGATTAACATATAGTGATTAACATTAAATCCAAAAATATGCAACATTCATGATCATCAAGGTTACACCATATTAATTACTAGAGTAATTAATGGAGGCCAAGATAATTAACTAAAAATAATACGGAACTTAATGTTTATATAAAGCACCTAGTGTAGATCCTATCCTAGACATTAATTTTTTGTCCGAATGAGCTACAAGGGCAACATTGACACAATTTAAGTCACAAATTTACCTACACATTCTAACTCCTAACCGTCTAATCGATCATGATTTGTAGAAACTAATGCAATGCAAACCAATTAATTAGGGTTATAAGAATGATTAAATTACCTCAAGGAATCCGTCAAAAAAAAAAATTACCTTGAGGAAGAGATAGAAAAGGGTAAGAGGAAGAACAATCACAAAGGCAAGGAGAGCAAGAAGAGGAAGAGTGAGAAAATGCGGCAAGGCCTTGCCAATAAAGTGGGGGACCCACAATGTAACCAACACACATCCCAAGAATTCCAGTTGCCATTTTCACCACTCTTGGGCTGAATATCCCATTTCCTCTCTTTAGATGTACCATTTTCTAACCAATCATAATGCTGCTGCTTCCTCTTCTTCTAATGATGGTACTGGTAAATTTCGGATTTTAATCACAAAAAAGTTATTTTTTGGATTTGTTATAGAATTAATGCGGTTATTTTATTTTATTGATTTTATTTTTGTTTAGTTTTGGGCATCAAATTTGAATTTATGGGAAATTACCTAGTCAAATGTATATGCTAACAAAATGCCTAATCTTGAGCCAAAATTTTATAATCTGTCTTAATAAAATAAAAAGTACATCTTTTTTTCTTTTTCTTGATGGTTTATGTTTGGTTCTAAGATTCTAACTAAAAATGATCAATGCCGGGTACAGCCGACCCGAAAATGTTGGCACAAGCCCGGTAAATTTGGGCCAAGTCAGATTAGTCACTAGAGACTTTTGATGCTATATCATACAATAGACAAGGAATAATACTTGAATACTCTTTTCATCATAAGCTTTTGGGATAGACGGATACTTACATCACAGAAGAGCAGTTCACATTTGTCTCCTCCCATTTACTCACGCCACTCCAGCATATGCCTAGAGCAATGGCTGGTCTGCATCAATGTAGAAAGGATGCATTTAATAACCCATCATACTCATATCCAGCCACCAGAATCAGTCAAAGTGAATGGTTTTTATTTGAAACAAAGACACATACCAGCTCATGTGTACCAATTAATGGTCAAAAAATCGGTTACAGAAAAAATGCGATCACACCTGCATATGTGCATAAACTATCAATATGTCAACATGTAAAGTGAATGAAATTGTAGAACAAAGATACATGCCATATTATATTTGTAGCAATTACTGATCAAAGAATCACTTACACAATAAAATCGTCCCCTGAATATATGCATAAGTTAACCATCCATATGTTCAATCAGTGTACTTTGATAGGATATTGGTCCCGGAATTTCAGTTCCCAGTAGAGGGCCTCCGGCCTTATAACCTTGGCTTTGGTATGCAGGTCTGACAGCAGCTGGAAAATGATTCTACAAGCTGTAAATTGCTGAATAATCACACTCTTGTCCTCAAATTAATCATCAAAAGTAAATTGGTTATAGGACCTTGTTCACCCAAATAAAACATTAGTTTCATAAATATTGTCATTCAAACTACTGTTACTCAGGTTGAACCTCAGTTCATCCATTTGATAACCCAATATTTCCAGGACCCAAAACATTTCTTCATTGAGAGGATGATCACTCTGACCATTAAAAAATGAGGTAATTTCCCCTTGTTGCTGAATATAACTCCAACCTGGGAGCTTTTTCAGTCCAAGAGCCTTCATTTGAGTCCATGCATCATTCACCCCCTCCCATCTCTTCATAGAAGCATAACTATGAGCCAGCTGCACATAATTCTCAGCACAAGCAGGTTTCAGCATCATGATATCTTTTGCGACAATATCACCAAGTATAGCATCACCCTTTATCCGACATGCATCAAGAAGTATGCCCAAAACATCAGCCGTGGGATTGGAAAACATTGTCTTTATGAAATTGTATGCCTCTCCAAGCCTTCCAGCTCGACAGAGCAGATCAACAATGCAAGCACGGTGCTCCAGTTCTGGTTTAATTCCAAACTCATGTATCATTGCATTGAATATCCTTAGACCTTCAGAAACCAGTCCATTGTGGCTGCAAGAGAAGAGAACAGAAAGAAAGATGACATGATTTGGTTGAAACCCCAAGTGTAGAAAATCCAAAAACAGCTTTAAAGCCATCTCCCCTTTTCCATGACTGCCATATCCAGTGATAATTGTGCTCCATGAGACAATATCATGCTTCGGCATCTGATTAAAACACTTGTGAGCTGTTTTAAGGTCACCACATTTTGAATACATGTCAACTAAAGCTGTACCAACCATTATGCTCGGCTGAGAAATGCTTCTGGTGAGAAAATTGTGGATCCACTTCCCTTGTTGCAGAGCCCCTGTGGAAGCACAGGCTTGGAGTAGGGAAATAATGGTTATAGAGTCAGGTTGTTGGAGCATTGATCTCATCTCATTAAGCAAGCACAATGCCTTCCACAGATCACCATTTTGTGCATATGCTGCAACAATTGCGTTCCATGAAACTATGTCTCTCTCACTCATATTGTCAAAAATGGCATAACTTTGCCTTAGAAGACCACACTTTGCATACATAGTGATCAGTGAGTTTTGAACAGGAATATCTAGAGTCATTCTTTGACGTAGTAGGTACGCGTGTACTGAAGTCCCAAGTCGTAGTGAACTAATTTTTGCACACGCAGCAAGAACTGTAGCTATTGTTGATGTAGAAGGAGTACAACAAGAATCCAGCAATTGACTAAAGACCATCAATGCATTGTATGCACTATCATTCTGTACAAATGCAGATATCACAGAAGTCCAAAGAATCACATCCTTCTCTAAAACCCTTTCAAATACTCTAAACGCACTGCAGAAATTTCCACATTTCGAGTACAGGACCACGAGTGAAGTCGCTAAATGTGCATCCACATGCAATCCACATGTCACAATCTGTCCATGAATCAGTCTTCCCAAATCAACATCAGTTTGCAAAGACTCGGAGGCACTCAAAAGAGTCCCGAATGTCTGCTGGTCAGGGCCGATACCTTCACTCCTCATTCTTTTAAACAGCTTCAATATCTCCTTAAAGTTCCCTGCTTGAGCATAACCCGAAACCAATGAATTCCACGAAACAATATCCCTCTTAAACATCACTTCAAATAAGTCCCTAGCAGCTTTAATTCTCCCACATTTTCCATACAAATTCAACATACAGTTAGCCAAATTAAGATCAGAACACAAACCAAACTGAACTACACTAGCATGTAGACACTCCAACAAAGAAATATCACTAACCCCAGATAGAATATTCAACATGGTAACAGAACTAGGTGAAATTCCCTCATATCTCATCATATTATACAAATGAACCCCCCTATAAACATCCCCAGAGCGCGTGTAACACCCAATTATAGCAGTCCAAGGAACTACATTTCTGTCAGGCATTAAATCAAACACATTATGTGCATTCTTGACCCGACCAAATTTCGCATAAAAATTGATCAAAGAAGAAGAAATATAGGAATCTGAAGAATACCCATGAATTATAACACGTTGATGTAACAAAATGCCAAGTGAAAACTTGTTGAGAAAAGTGCAAGCTTTAAAAAGACAGGGGAAAGTGTGAGCATCTGAGGGAGTGTGGGAGTTGAGCATTGAAGAGAAGGTGGTGAATACATCACGGTGAGAACCCGATGAAGAAAGGCGGTTAATCGTTGAATTGAAGGATTTTGTTGCGGTGAAGGACGGCGGCAGTGGTGGTGATTGCGGCGGCGGTCTTATGTGAGCTTTGAGCCTGCTCATTGGCCTAGGATAGTGAAGAATGATCGTTTTTAGTTACGGTAGTTAAAATTTAAAATGTAGTTGAACGTTTGAAAATTTTGATTTTTGCTACCTATCAAAACTTTTATTGAATTTTGCTACCTAATATATGCCCTTTTTTTAAATTTTGCTACCACTGAACGAAATCCGTTAAGGAATCCGTTAAGTGGGTCCATAACGACACGTGTCGTGTTATTATTGGCCAAAAAAATTAAAAAAATAAATTAATTAAAAATTAAAAAGAAAAACCTAAACTACCCAGCCACCACCCCCTTCCCCCCAACTCACTGCACCCCTCGCCGAAACCACCACCCGCGTCGCACCACCAGCCCCAACCCACCTGAACCCTCCCCCTCCCTTTCCCGCAACCGTGTCGCCCCCAAAATCGCTAAACCCAAAACCCTCGTCCCCAAAAACGGGCAAGAACATGGCCTTAAAAGGCCGAAATCGGCCGATTAAGGCCACTGAGCCCCAAAACCGGCCGATTTCGGCATTTGTGGCCAGATTCGTGGCCGTGGTGGGATCTAGGGTTTTAGTTTTGGTGGTTTTTGGGGGCGACGCGGTTGCGAGAAAGGGAGGGGGAGGGTTCAGGTGGGTTGGGGCTGGTGGTGCGACGCGGGTGGTGGTTTCGGGGAGGGGTGCGGTGAGCTGGGGGGAAGGGGGTGGTGGCTGGGTAGTTTAGGTTTTTCTTTTTAATTTTTTTTAATTTTTTTAATTTTTTTGGCCAATAATAACACGACACGTGTCGTTATGGACCCACTTAACGGATTCTTTAACGGTGGTAGCAAAATTTAAAAAAAGGGCATATGTTAGGTAGCAAAATAAAATAAAAGTTTTGATAGGTAGCAAAATTCAATTTGATGTGTTTGATAGGTAGCAAAAATCAATTTTTCCTAAACGTAATAACGCAAGTATGTTGGAATATCTACCTATACTTGCGACTTTTCGAGTAGTATTTAAAAACACAAACCACACATTACTCGTTTGCACATGTCATCACAAATCACTCATACGCTAATTCTACATGCCATCTTCTTTATCAAAAAATAATGTTCATGTCTTTATGCATTCGTAATTGCAAATTTAGGTAAGCATATTAAGAGATTCAATTACACCATAGTAAAATAAAGTCGTAGTCTTTTAATCTCCCAAACTTTATTTTTAAAAAAAAAAAAATGAGCTACTTAGTCTGCATTACATAAACATATAGAGTACAATAAAACAATGTCGACTCATACAACACAAATAAGCAACACATTACATGGAACGGGCCAAAAGGCTAATTTACATTAAATTGTTAGGGGTTAGTTAACTCCTAAAGTTCGTTGATGTATGTTCGGATTGTTTATATTATACGAAGTATTTTATTGTAGGAAAATTTGCAAATTGCAGCCATTTAAAGTTTGTAATTTGCAACCATTTAAAAAATAAATTGTAAATTGTAGCCCAAATTAATTTTTACATTGGTTTATGTGTCGAAAAATATTCCGTCAAAGTTTAAAGGGTCATTTTAGGCCTTAAGGAACCAAATTGAGCTCATGATTGGCAAAAAAAATCAACGCAACTGCCTAATTTTCACGGCAAAAAATAGTTGCATAAAAATCGATACATTTTTATAGCATCTAAAAAAGTGATTATATCATTCAAAATATAAGCATATTATTTTAAGTGTATCAAATATTGAGTCTGTAATAATTTATTGTAGATCGGGTCCATTATACAAGACCTGTTGTTTTAGACTTTAGTAAATACGATTGACCTTCTTTTATCACATCTACATTTTTAACAAAAATAATTTTTAATTTCCCTTATCACATTTCAACAACTTATTGCTTAATATGTCGTGCTCAAACAAGTGTTCAAATTATTTATTATGGGACAAAAGAAGTAATTAGTTTGGAATTTTTTTTTTTCCAGGGAAAATTATTTTGGAAATTAGACAATGCAAATTCTTGTTCGATCTAGATCATAACCCTTTTTTTTTCAGATCATTTAATATACAAGAAACAATTTCTAATTGTGGTATTTGACAATGTTATGACTTGGTAGTCAATCAATGAAACTTATGACCAGGTTAGCTCAATTTAGTAACTTAAAATCACATTTTATTATTCTTTAACAAACATGCTTCCAGATGAATATATGGAAAATAATACATAAATTTGCTCAAACTATAGCCAACCATTAGCTTCATCTCTAAGCAATTTGAAGCAAAACGTGATTTTTTGGATTTCTTATTAGTGAAATTGTGAATCGGATCACTTGAATTGAGACATATAAGTTCATATGAATCATATCTTCCATTTCACTTGCATAATTAAACCAATATTTTATGGCAGTAGTAGTTTTTTTCGTGGTATCCAATCAAACTCATATTGAAAGTCCAATGCAAACAAGCAAAAAATAATCATATGCGATCAAACTTTTCTCCAATACATGCCCATATAGATATTCGTAAATTTTTTAACTTAACGCTACACCAACTCAATTTTCATGAATAATTGAGCACAACTATAATTTTTAAGCACGGCAATCAACAGCAACATAACATGAGATATGCTAATGCTATTTATATAAATTAATTCGGAATAAAAAAAAATTGTGAGAATCATAAAGTCAAACGAGATATATATGTAATATAATTAAATACGTAATCAAACTCTGGCCATAAAAATAGAAAGAAATAGAGATGTATGCAAAAACTCTAAGCAAAGCACATTTGCACATGCATGCACAATCACAATTATACTTATGCTTTTGTAACTAAGCTTTGAATTATTGTATAGCAAATCTTCTACAATCATGCAAACATTGCGTTAACATATATTTGCAATCAGGTTTTGACCGAGCTTGTGATCAAGGATTATCTATTTAGATATTTTAGTGAATTTTGCCTCTTGCTTTTATTTAATTATTTTTTTTTTAACCTTTTGTAGTTAATGTCTAATATGTTTAATTTGACAATATTGAATTGGTATATATATGTTAAATTTACATATGGAGTAGTTATATTTTCAAATTTTGAAAACAAAGAGGGCTCAAATACTTTAATTCTCTAGCTTTTTTATTCTCTTGGTTATAGGCACAATAGCTACTAAGATTAAAAGATAAATAGAGCTAGAATAATAAATTTAAGGAAGGTAGTAACACATTACTCACATGAATGACATGATGATTTATTATACGTAGTTCTTAAGGTTTGTTCTGATTTACTAAACTCAGTTGAATTGAGCTGAAATGAGCTGAGCTGAACTGAATTGAATATTTTATGAGAGAAGAAAATTAAAAATTTAATTGAACAGAACTGATCTGAGTTGAACTGAACTGAACTGAACTGGAAATAAAGTGAAAAGAATAGACCTTTAGATTAAACATGGCTACTATGGAGTAGTTAATTTTATCAACTTAAGTTATAAAATGTATATTATAATAAGCTCATTAATTGATAATATACAATAAACGCCTTTGCTGAACATAATCAGTTTATTAATATTACTAAGTGTCTAACGAGTTGACTATCTATGTTATAAAATTAGCAGTCAAATAAATAAAATTACAGCAGTAGAAAAGTAAAGATGAAATTTCAAACAAAAAGCGTTGACAAGTACATCACAAAAGTGCTTGGCTAACGGCTAAGAAAACGACTAAGTAGGAAGTTTAAAAGAGTTTTCCACGTAACTAATTAAATTAGGCTAATAGCCATTGGTGAAACTAGTAGCTCAATCCAAGCTGTTAAATTGGCCAATTGACAATTATATTTTCTTGTTCACATCAAAAAGTCTTGGATATTCCTTTGCTTGGAATAACTAGATAGTGACAAAATCGAGTAATTAGTTATCTAACAAATATCTAGATTTTGAATGGTTACATTTAATATCTTAAATTGCCGTATTTATATTTGAATTCTTTGACATAGTAAAGTGATTAAATATTTTTAGGATAATGATACAGGTAGCCCTTAGGCTATGTATAAGCATTAAATATACTTCCTAAAATAGAATTAAGTTGGGAATTCATGACAAAATCACGCGCATGTTGGTATAATGAATGTTAATCTATCCTCGTTATTTTCCTTTTTAGCTTCTTAGGGCCTATTCTCATTGACTGAACTCAGTTGAACTGAACTGAACTGAGCTAAGCTGAACTAAACTGAACTGAATATTTTATAAGAGAAGGAAATTAGCAGATGAAATGAACTGAACTGAACTGAACTAAACTAAACTAAACTGAGCTGAACTGAACTGAACTGAACTGAATTTCAACGTAAGAGAACAAACCTTTATACATAACCATTGGGGCTATGTTTATCATTTTTTTTCTTATTTCAAAGCCATTATTACAGCTAACAATTATTTTATTGAACATGTTTAAGTGTGTGATTAATTACTTGATATTAAATCTAATGAAATAATTAATTAAATTGGTGTGCGTGTATTCTATGGCTTCATAACCATCTACCCTATATTAGCTTCATTCTCACTACTTTTCCCACATTCCAAATCACAAGAAGCACATTTTCCCCCTTTTAAAATTGCCATATGATCAAATCACATTAGATAATAGTACCTTGTTTGTCGGGGAAAAGCATAGTTTTGCTAGCTATCAAAATCTACATTTCTATAGGGTATAAGTTTAATTAATTGTCCAAGAAATTTATTCCCTCTCTTAATGTTCTAACCACAAATTTGTAAGCATTATTTAGCTCTACTTTACTCCTTGGATTGTGTTGGAACTAGTACCAATAATATATAGATCAAAGTTTAACATATAGTTTAATGACATTATTATGATTCTACTAATAATATATAGATACATATTGATACATAGAGTATACTAGTTAGATATTGATTGATATTATATTATTCCTACTTATATATGATATTATATAATTGATAATTACTTGGCATATTTTAGTAGGTTTGACGTATAAGGTCAAATATATTTTCCACAAACCAAATTTCTGGTTTATTATGACTAAGACCACTCCACTAATTGCTCAAGCCGCCTAAAATGCTTGAATTTATTTCCCTTTGCGTACAACTTATATGCATGCATGTGTTTTATCTCTTGCCTATATATACATAGTACACATAATTGTAAAAATCACAAAACATACATTCATCTTTTATCTTATAATAGCTCCTCTTAGAGCTTAAATTCCATCAACATTGTCTTTCTTATTCAAATTGTCGAGAAAATATGAAGTCATCCCTTAAGATTGCGCTTGTCTTAGCCGTTCTCATGGCCCTTCTCATCACTCTTTCCTCGGCACAAACCAAAAAAGAGAATAAGAAAAACGATAAGAAAAGTGAAGAATTAGAAAGATTTGATTCCTATAAAGGGTCGAGTAAGTTTCTCAATTCAAAGAAAAAACATCCATTTAGCCCATACAAAGTGATTGGTGGTACTTATGGTGCACGTGTCCGTTTGACATGTGATAAGTTCCCTAGGGTTTGTCATACTAAAGGAAGTCCAGGCCGCGATTGTTGTGGTAAGAGGTGTGTTAATGTCAAAACCGATAACCTAAATTGTGGAATGTGTGGACGAAAATGCAGATTTCCTGAGGTTTGTTGCAATGGGAGATGTATTAACCTTTGGTATGATAGAAAGAATTGTGGGGCTTGCAAGAACAAATGCAAGAAAGGGAGCTTTTGCTACTATGGCATGTGTAGCTATGCTTAAAATGATACAAGCATATATGAAGAAGATGAGGGCTAATTATCAAACACAACTATATCCTAGCTACATATCATATTTTGGTAAAGAATATGGATGCATATAATTAATTAATTAAGTTTTGATTAATGTTCATAATTTTCATACATGTTGGATATTAATTGATTTGTTAAATTGCTTGGAGCCAATAAAGGTGATCGATCGAGCTATTCTGGCTATTAGCTAGGTTGGTGGAAGCTCTAGCAAATAATTAAGATTGGTTATATTCTTTTTTCAGTTGTATTTACTTTATTATATTATATACTATGAATTAATTAAATAAATTTTTTATGTATACTATAGTTAACTATATTCTGTTAATGAAGTGTTGTTCAGTGTGATGTGTACTTGGTTAAGTAATAAAGTACTTCATTTTTTTTATTTTATTTTTTTGAAGCAAAAAGTACTTCTTTTATTTAAACATCTAAAAGTATTATTTATATATACTTCCTCTATTTAGAATTTGTTGTAACATTTTTATTTTTATACAAGTATATGTTTGTCAATTCATCGTTTCAAACATGTATATGCTTGTATATATAATTATCAAGGAAAATTAAACTAAAATAAAACTGATGTTTAAAATATATTTTGAGACACATCTAAAAGATTCTACGTGATTATGTTTTCATTAAGTGTAAATCACCAAAACTAATAAAAGTAAATTGTGTGCGTGAATATAATGTACGGAGTAAATCAAAAGTTGCAACTATTTCTAATCAGAGGAAATTCATAGTAACATTCAAGTTTATCATATCACAATTAGCTAGATTTAATATGACTACTTTGCTTCATTAATTGTGATTATCGATCGTATTAGCCATATTTTAGTCATTCCATATAACACCTATTAACTAGTTATCAACCACATTTTCACAAAATCTTTGATAAAACTGGCCAGCCAGGCAGCTAACATAGTCCATCGCTAACATCTAATACAATCAGCTAAAATTTACATGTGATAATAGCTAACCCCAAATTGCCAAACATAGCTAAAGGCACCTAAATGATAAATGAATTAGATTGTAATCATTCTAAATCAATTGAATTATCAACAAAAAAAATGCGATCCTCCGTTGACCTTTTGACCCTAAAAATTATTTTGTAATACAACTTTACGTTGACTATACGCCTTGGGTTGGAATTGATTTGGTATATACAATATTGTTTGTGAAATGTTATAAGGTGAAGCATTAACTAAATTATTAAATCACAAGATATATTATTAAAAAAATTAATTTTGGATCTAAAACCTAAGCTGTGATACCATGTTAGAATTTGGGAAAACTCCTCAACCTGGAGTGTGTACCATTGATTAATATATATAGGGGTTTACAAGAGTCGTAATCCTATTAATATTATCGTAAATATAATATCTATCAATTATTATATAGATATGCATTATTAACTTAAGTTTATATGTATCCAAAATATATTACGCCTATGTTTGGTCAACAAAAGATTGAAGCCATAATGTGTAATGCTAGTAATAATAAAAAAAATAAAAATAAAAATAAAAAAATAAAAAAAGAAAAAGAAAAAAAAAAGGTACATATATAGTGATGTAGAAGGGACCAAAAATGTGGTTTTTTCTTTGCTGCACAATAAAAACCATGAACCATAATGTGTAAAGCTAGTAATAATTATTAAAAATTAAAATTTATACTAGAATATTCTATTCTCATTGGTTTGGACACCATGTGTAACTGGTGCAGTTGCTCTTACTTTCTTCAAGTACCATATGCCTGCCCCAATTCCTACCCCTGCTATTGATGCTGCTGTCACCGTTCCTATCACACCACCACACAAATATTAGAATCATATATCTACGGGCAAATTGGGGCAGCTGACAATCTCCAACACGACATAACAACATAAAAAACAAAACATAAAACGGAGATGAAGCTAGTCATGGTAATTCAAATCGAATACAACACTAATTAACACAAATAATTCTTGTCCTAATCAAATTTGACACATGATATGATTACAATTATACCTATATATATGTGTGTGTATATATAAATTTTGGTAATATGTGAATAATACACTTTGTTTATCGAAATTGTGGCAATTTTAGTTTGAACCTAATAAGTAATTGAAAATTTTATAGTCGTCAATTGAAATATTTACCTGCAACGGCCTTAGTATGTCCACCATGTCTTTCAATTCGATGATCTGCCACAATCACAAATAGGCAACGCCCATGCTTAATGATATTAAGAGTTAGAAAATATATTTAATTTGTTGTGATACATATTTTATGTACGTTACTGTATTGGACATACCTTTACAATAAGTAGTGACATTTCTTTCTTCACACAAGCATAAGAAATCTTGGTTTGTGGTATTAAACCCACAAGTACCTCCTCCCTTAGCACGGTCCTGGCAACGAAGGCAGCTAGACGTGAGCGGGGTCTCAAAGTCGACTCTCACACCATACTCGGGCACTTGATCGTAGGGTCGCGAGGTGCCTAGGCCGCCAACACTCTTCCAATGTACACTAGTGTAAGTATCGCAATGCTTGAGCATCATCCTTAAGGATTCCGTTGCCTTAGGGTAGTAAGAGCAACAAGAGAGGTCTCTTAAGGCCTTATTGTTCGGGGCACATTGCGGGAAATGCCGGCATAGGTAGCTTGCGGGATCACACGTAGTGTCACAACGATCAGGGAACCTCTCGCAAAACATAGGCCTGAAATTTTGATAATCAATTGTAAATATTAACTATATATGTACTTCTCGTATTTGTTAATTTGACTATAATATTTTGACTTTTGCACTATTCACATGCTTAGTAATATGAAATTATACAGTAGGGAAACATGTACAATAATATGGAAATTGTTACATACTTTATTTTCTTTATGATATAATTTCAAATTATTAACTTATTTAACGTTCTGCAATGACACGTATAAAAGTCGAAACGCTGAAAAAAATAATTAAGATCAGTCGAAAATATAAGTAAGCCGCACCTAGGTTCCATGATGACCTTATCCGGGCTGCAATTGAAGAAGAGATACTCATTCTGGTTGGATAGAGACAAGTGTGTGCTGCTATCCAAGCTAAAGGGTCTAGTGGGCCGAAACCGGTCTTCATCCTTGCACTCCCACATAAGAGGGTCCGAGACCAAAATATGGGGATCCGAATAGCTAATGGACTTCACGGGGTACCGGCCTGAAGGGGTCCGGAGCTGGAGGACATCTCCGGAGCACATCAAGATGTGGCGGTAGTATGGACTACCGCACCCATCATCAATGGTTAGAGGGTAGTTAATTGGAATCCCTCCGCAGGATGACCTGCAGAGGGATGATTGAGAAGAGACTAACACAACTAAGGTTGTTAGTATTAAGAGAGTGAGTATTTGGGTTGTAGAATTTTTAGGGTGACTCATTTTGGTTGTTATTTGTGTGAAGGGCAAATTTTAGTTTAGTTTTTAATTTGGTGTGACAAAAAAGTTGGGAAGCATGAGTGTTATTGGGGTTTTGAGTCAAGTTTGAGAGTTAGAAGCAAAGAATCTTAGCACCATTATTAGTTAATAGTACTAAGAATTTGTGTTATATATTTGCTTTAGTTCTCTTTATTCACTTTTTTGTTCTTTGTTCTCTAGAATATATTGCATTGCGAATGTTTAAATTCTTTATTAATTTACGAACTTTTGTTGCTTTTGCTTTATTTTTGCCAGAAGTGAGCACATAATATAAGCAGCCTAGCTTTACATAACTTAGTAAGATTTGTATGGTGCGGTAAATTTCAATTACATTTGTAAAAAAACATTCATTAGATTCATTATTTCTACATAATTAAGGGCTTAAGCTTGTAGGGGAAACAAGGGAAGCATTCCATGGAATTAAATCACATGTAAGGTATGCATCCTTGCCCTTAGGTAAACCACGAATTTTAACTTTTTTTATCTCACCACTACGTAGATCACATTGAACAAAGATCACTCCCCTAAAAATATTATGATTTTCCGTCCATCCTCCGAATAAGCGCAAGGCCGTGGCAGACTATACGGACATGACCGGTGGACACGATAATAACGCTTCCATTCACTATCTAAAACTTGTTTGAGTGAAATACGATCAACCAATTGAACCCACAATTGTTCCGAACCATGATGATTCTCGTTCATAGCCCAAATGCACAAGCTATACTCGTATACTTCGGGTGGCACATGTGCATGAGGCAAAAATCCATAACGCATCTTGTAATTTACGACGTGTAAACAACCCCTTAATTCAATTAAAACCCAATCATTCTCCATAATTAACCTATATTTAGGTTGTGGTAAGGGTACTTTATTATACTCTTCACATTCTAGGTCAAAATTAATAATATATGCACTAGGGTTATGATTATCACATATCCAATGTAACTAATGTATGGTTGGTGCACCATGCGCATGGTGCACCCGAAAAGAACATAAGGTATATTTAAAAGAACATGGGCAAAAAAGAACATTATATATATTTATAAAGAACATGAGCATAATATATTCTTTAAGTTTGATGATTATGTTTTTTGAGTTTGAACTATATGTTCTTTATATTATACAATATGTTCTTTATATTATACAATATATTCTTTAATGTATGTACATTAAAAAAAAAATCAATCACTCGAGTAACCAGAAAAAAGAACATGTTTTTTAATGTATTATCATGTTCTTTTTGTAAAGACTTTATGTTCTTTGGCTAGAGGTGATCAAAGTTAGAACGGTCCGACCCGATTTTGGACGGGTTTTGGGCAGAATTTTTTCACCCTCAAAATCGGGTCGGACCCAGCCCTTAAATTTAATTTATTGGACGGGTTTGGGAATGCGTTTTATGCATTTTAGTTGATTTTTTTTACTCGACCCGAAAAGCCCGCATGGTCGGACAATTTTGGGCACAAAAACTTTGGCCCAAAATTTGGCCCGACCCGAGAAGTGAGTTGATTTTTTAACCTTGGCCCGGCCCACCCAATGATCACCTACATCTTTGTCAAACACGAACATGTTCTTTTTTGTCAAATATAATGTTCTTTTTCAAACACGTTCAACACCTAAATAACCATGAAAAATAACATGTTCTTTTTTTAAAGACTTTATGTTCTTTGTAATGTCATGTTCTTGTCAAACACAAACATGTTTTTTGTCAAACATAGGTATGTTCTTTTTCTAACACTAGCATGTTCTTTTTTTTGCCCATGTTCTTTAAAATATATCTAATGTTCTTTCCGGGTGCACCCGGGTGCATTATACTATTTTCACAATGTAACGCATTATTCGACAAAATCATGCGTTTTTTACATGCATAACCAGAATGTGGTGGAGGTGGTTCGATGACTCCCCATGAATTAGTCTTCAAGCTATAAAGCCAACAAGTTTTACCGCCGTCTACACGTGGAGCATAGTAAAAAATCTTGTAATCGTGACCAACGCAATCATAACCAAACCCGACCAAATAATAGTAATCGTTGTGCCTTGAGTGTTACATATACCGGTAATTGGGTTATAAATTGAAAATCTTGTTGATTTGCCTACGCCGTTATTTAAAAATGTGAGGAAACAAAGCAAACCATTACTCGAACCAACAAACCCGCGAGAGTAAGTGGGAGAGTACATCTTATGGGGTAGAAGAATAACGAATTAATTTTTTGAGCTTTAGAGAAGATTGGAAATCTAGTGAGAAAATATCCGATGACCATAATAAATTATTTGAATTGAGACAACGGAGGGCAAGGGTATTCGGATTGTTTATTCGAGCTTGTCGTCTGTGAGATGTTATGAAATAGGTGGTGTTGATTTCATCACGCCAACGCTTACAAACACACTTAAAACGGAGAAGAGATTTAGCCGGAAGCCTTACGAAAAAAATAGTCTTATGATACTTATTCAAATCGCCTGAATTGATAATTGAAAATATTATTGATCAATTGTAAATTTGTAACTTAGATATGTATATGACGGTGCAATTAATTTCCATTACAATAGTAAACATATTTTATAAACAAGGTCAATAATAATGGTATTATGTTCTCTTAATCACACAAAGGAAAATAGTATACACAAGTAAAAATCAAACAAAAGAAGGGATTACCTTGATTCTTTATTTGAGAAGAATTAAGTACAAGGGGAAACAAAAGAACTAATCCATGGAATAAGATCATATTTAGGGTTTACAAAATGGCGACCATCAATCGGTAAACCACGAATTTCGACTTTCTTAACCTTACCAGTACTTAGATCACATTGAACCATGATAATTCCCCCTAAATCTATTAACATTTCTCGTCTGTTCTCTAAATAAGCGCAAGGTCGTGGCGGACGATAACAACTTGGATGTGAGGAACCACTACATCTCAATTCCCTTTGTAAACATTGTTTGAGTGAAATACAATCAACCAATTTAACCCACAATTGGTTCGAACCGTCATTGTTATTGGTCATAACCCAAATACGAATGTTATACTTATATATTCTAGGTCTTTTAGCTAATGATGTATGGTACATATTATATTTTATGAAATGCAAACGACCCCGTAATTCAACTAAACTCAAATTAGCCCATGACAGCAAATTAATATAGGGTTCACGATACTTTTCGGTCCCTAGATCAAAACTAACTACACATGCATTAATTGCATTAGATGTATAATAAGGATGTGGATAACATATCCAATACAACGCGTTATCCGAAAAAACCATGCGTATTACCTCCCGCACATCACGAGTTGGCGGAGGAGGTTCAATGATTTTCCATGAATTATTCTTCAAGCTATAAAGAGAACCAGATTTGTTATGACGTTTGTAATCATATATCTTGTAATCGTCATTAGCAAAATCATAACCAAACCCCATCATATAGCGTTGGGAAGAATATTGATGATTTGGATACAACTTAGGTAGGGTGTAACCGATACCGGTAGCCGGGTTGTAAATCGAATATTGTGGCTCATACTCTTTTTCTCGGAAACAAACCAAGCCATTACTTGAACCAACAAACGCGTAGTTAAAAGAGGAATAGTAGCTACTCTCATAAGATGAAGGATAATAATGAGGTAATTTTTTGACCTCTAATGAAGAAGATTGGAGATCTAGTGAGAAAATGTCCCGTGACCACCACCTCTTTTCATTTGATGAATAATCAAGACAACGGAAGATGAGTGTAGAAGAATTCGGTTCGTTTATTCGAACTTGTCGAGTGTGTGATGTTATGAAAAAAGTGGTGTTGATTTCATCGCGCCAACGCTTACAAACACACTTGAAACGGAGAAGAGATTTAACCGGTAACCTTTCAAGAATTTTGCTATAAGGTTTGTCCGCCATGATTATTAGAGCAAACAAATACAATTAAATTTGGAGAAAGAGTGATTATCAACTTTGATGGTTTAAATTGATTAATATACTTCGTATATATAATGGCGTCTAATTTGAGTATTTTTTAGTATAAGAAAATTTTAATTGTAGGATAAATTTCATATACATATTAGAACACAAAGTTTTTCACTTATCATATTAGAAAGATATTGAGATATATTGTATCAATTAGGATATAATTTTGGTACTTTCCTTGTTGTTTCCTAATTATCTTTTTTTTTTTTTTTTTTGAAGAGAAGTTTCCAAATTATCTTAGTATTAGAGTTTGTATGAAGTTTGTCAATGGTTTAAATAAGTCGTTTGGTTATGATCGTGTAAATCGAAAATTGGTTTAAACCCACAAATGTATTAGGATTGACTACAGTAAGAATTGGGCAATAATTGGGTGGGTCAAAGCCCTTTTGGGCTCAGCCTAAATAGTTTGACCCGGCCCATATAATGCATCACTTAAGCAAATTTTAAATACTGTAAATTGGACAAAATGACAAGTACGACTCTACAAACGTTCTAACCCGCCTTAATAATCCATGTTTGGGTCCATTTGATCTAGGCCGATCCAATCATAATCGACCAAAACTCTCTCATTTAATGATTCAAAGCTCATAACTAGAGCTAACAATCTCTGAGACGACAATACAGCTGAAACCGATACACAATATAAACAAAAAGACAAAGTTAATGAGAGAAAACACGAAATCGCCACAAACTAACTCAAACACGATCGCTTTAATAATTTGGTCAATGCAATTGTCTTACATAATATGGAGTACATAGTTTTTGAGAGGCTTTGTGAACAACACGAGATCAACACTAACGTACATGACACGACACGACTTTTTCACACTCAAATTATTACACTTTTCTTTCTGACCTTCTAAGTTCTAACACCAAGGTGATAACCTGACCCACACGTTTCTTGACTAAATATCTTGATCGCTAACATTTCCTCCGTTTTATACTTTCTCCGTTTTTTTTAGTTGACACCGTTTGACTTGTACACTATTCACATAGTACCCTTTGACTCGCTTTTGTGATTTATAGATATGATAAATAAAATATAGTTGTGTGATCTTGTTTGAATCGTCTATATGTATATTTTATTAATATCCATTTTTTATAATTTTACAATGTTGATAATTACTTATTAAGCGTTAAAAACATGCGTTGGCAAGCATGATAATAGAAATGTGTCAAAAAAAAAAACAAAGGAAGTATGAGCTAACACATTTCTTTTAAACGTGTTTAGTTTACCGATGAAAAACTTTAATAATGCTTTTCTCAATTATATACAACCAAAATTTATACTCCCTCCGTCACGAAAGAACGACCTATTTGGCCTAATTTTAGTCCCTAAAAGAATGACCCATTAGCATTAAAATACCCACTAATTTGCAACAATATTTGTGCGAAATTAGCTTCCCCATATAAAATTTTATTTTTCCATATACTTTTATTACTATCTCTCTCTACTTTTTTGTAAACCTCATATAAATTTATGTTTCCAATATACTTTTACTTCTTTTTATTTAACTTTATTAATACCCCTGAAATCAACCCAAAAAGGTCATTTTTTCGGGGACAGAGCTGAGGGAGTACTACCCCCATTAATTAGGATGTGCAATATCGAGGTATTATTTGTGCGACACAATCAATTTCCAAAGTTGCTCATAATAATTAACAAAGGTAGTAAATTTGATATTTGAGAAATAAACGTTGAAACGAATACAACAAAGCGCCGCTTTATTATATTTTTCTTAAGCATAAATTACAAAATGATGTCAAATCAATTTATTTAAATAGAGGCGAATATCAAAATGTGTCAACTAAACTGAAACGGGGGAGAGTATGAATATGAGTACAAAATAGTCTAAGAAAATGGCCCACCTTTATGGTTTCCACTTAATTTCATAAATATTTGGAGTGACAATCCAAATACTTGTGGTAATCAAACAATTAAACAATACTCAAATTGGCAAGTTGTAATCGAATAAGGTCACGGAATTCTCGAAGTTATATAGTACTTGTATGTATGGTGGGACTTAAAAAGACGGAACTTTTTCTTCAAATAGTCATTAAATCTCAACGCAACTACATAATGGACCTCACCTTTCCTAATTTAAAACCATCTAATCAAATTAATGCCGGAAGATATACGTTGTAATTGATGTCATATTGAAATAAGATACTGTATGTATGATATAAGTCCAAAACATTATCCCTACATGGCTACATTGAGGACTTGAGGTTATGAAGCATGCATGCATGTAATTGTGAAAGCTACGTTAACATTATTATTGTAGATTTATAAGTAGTATGTAGTGTAGTAGTTGATTACATTGACTTGAATGGACTTGTTGGATATTGGCTTTAAAAAGGTGAGATCTTATCTCTACTTCTTTGTCTAATTTCAAAATTAATCGTTGTAGACATAAAATATGTTTAAGTTCGTTTCATCTTGACTAGTTTTCTAAATGATCGAGCTGAGTTTGAACTTATAATTTGATTTAAATATGACTCAACCCATGATCAAAATCAATTAAAATTTAATTTGGATTTTAGTTAGTTGGTAACTTGCGTGATGCTAAACATAATAAAAAATGAATAGTAGTGAGATGGAATATATATACACAAGAAACTGTGCTTTTAGTGATTCTACAATCACCAATTAAACCATTTATGCAAATTACTGCTCTATTTTGTCTAATATTGATAAAAGCACATAGTTTTGTTGTGATTGATATGTAGTTTAATTTTTTTGTTATTCAATTAGAGGTTGTGGTTCGAATTTAAAAGAATCATTAGAGTTGAAAGCCCCTAGTTAAAGAGAGAGCGGCGACAAGGGATGGGATATCATTTCTTTGTCTTGAATTTTAGAAATGATATAGATAATAGCATAATACTCCGTATATATGAGCAATAGAGATTATAGAAGAGTGATATATTTAGCGAGCCTCTTAAAAGTCAATAAAACTTTATTGCAATTTTTGTAGTGGTTTTCAGTTAATTGTTGTTTAGAAATTAGGACTCTCGTTTTCATGATTATGGCATAATTGGTGAGGTATAGTAATTGTCATTACTCTTCTATATATCACTTTCATATAGACTTAGTGGCCAATAATTGGCCATTCAACTACTTAATTAAAAGTATAACTAGCCTTCTGGCCCGTGCAATGCACGGGTTATTCATATAAAATTGTATTGAGAGATAAGTGAGGAAATATCAGTAAATCATTATAGGGTATAATATGTAATCGGAAACATGATTAAAGAAATTAAAATTTTGGAACTTTAATCGAAAAAAAGGCTTAAATAGAAAGTGGAAGGGCTTAAATTAAGAGAGAATAGGAAAATGTTGAATTAAATGGGAGAGATGAAGTGTGTATAAAAGATGAAGTATAAGTTTAATGAAAGAATTAAAAAGATGGTATAATAAAAAATTATTAGTGTAAGATGACATGTGTCACTATGGTTAGAGAAGTGTAATAGAATGGATGGAGACATGTGTCTTTCTTAGTTTCTTGGTTATAGTTTTTAAATACTAAGTATAGATACAGTTGATTTACAGTTGATTTGACTCGATTTTTCTTGCAAGTAGTAGTCGTTGGAAGTTGGTTACGAGTCTTATAACAACTCGAATTATTGATAAAATAGAAAATACTTTAACATGAATTATTATGATGGTTATCGTAATTTTGCAATATTAATTGTATATTGTATGGACCTTATTGTAAAAATTAGGGATGCAAACAAGCCAATAAGACACTCAATAAGCAAATCAAGCTCGAGCTTGAATAAAATTTGTCTATGCTGGTTCATTTAATAAATGAGTCAAGCTTGATGACAAATGTTGAGAATTTAATAAATTGGTGTAAACATGAAATCACGCGCACGCACATACATACACTCATATTTTCAATCATATGAGTTCATGAACAACTTACGAAATTATGTTCATGAGCAAGATTGTCTATATATATTGTTGACACCGAAATTTTGTTAATTATTAGGTGTCAGATATATGTAAATAAGGAGATAATATCAAAAATTATAAGATATTTATCTTTAGAATCTCATAGATTATTATCTTTTACTCTACGACACTCTATATAAAGAAGGTCGTTTATAGGGTTTAAGGAGGCTCAGATGGAATAAGTCACAAAGACCCCGTCTCCTCCCTACTACCAAACATGGTACATAGTATGGATTAAGCCAATAAAACTCCGTACTATAAACAAATATCAAAACCTGACCCTTTGGAGAGAGGAATCAAGAGATCTACGAGAGTTGTAACCCACAAATTATCAATGAAATAATTGTTCCCGTATATTTTTCTACCTCTTTAACTATATATTGCAGGTTTGAATTTTTATGGTTTACATATATAATATAAAAAAAATTAAAAAAAAAAAAAAGGTGCAAATCACAATTGTTAATTTTAATTTGTTAATTATTAAATACTATGATGTTAGACATTATAATTTAGATTAGATTTTGGGTATTATAAATGTCAAAAGTGCAAACCTCAATTAAATAAATAAATAAAAATAAAAATAAAAAACCTTGTTTCTGAATTGAAGCCAACTCTATACATACATAAACAAATTGGGGTTTAACTTTATTTTTTCAATATAGCAATGTCATTAACATTAACAAACGCATAAAATACTTCAAAATGGATTGAGGGAGGAAATTATACTTCATTATTAATGTAAGATTAATAATTAAATGACTAAAGTATTTGGTATTAAAATGTCTGGTCTATATAGAATATAACTAGTACAAGTCAATAAGTAAATTACATGCTCAATAAAATAAATCATAATGTCATTTCATTTAGCATTGGACTAAATTTGAAGGTTAGTTGACAACAACAATAATGGAAACCACTAAGAAAGAGAGAAGAAAAAGAAAGAAGACATAATAATAACTTGGTAGCAAAAAGTCGATGTTACGACCCACACAAAGTCTTCGTCATCGTGTAAATTGGGATAGATAATTGCCCATGCATGCACTTAATTCTCTTACACTTTAATTTTGTGACTTAAATAGTCTTCATTCCTTTTTGGAGGTGGTATATCTCTATCTCCTTCAAACCTTGAGGGCAAATTCTATGATTTTTTAATACTTTTTCGGGTTGTTATAGCAACGATAATGAGCATCAAAATAAGTACGAGTTAGTTTGGATCTATATCATTTCGACCAATTAAACTTCTTATATGAGTCTAAATTTAAATTAGTGTAAACTACTTGTACTTTGTCTTAACCATATTAGCTTTAATTTTCAACATAAATTTGATGATCCTTTAAAGGATTGATCTTCCTCGTTGAATTCAAAGATATAAACCGTGAACTCTGTGATTATATAATATTATATAATATTTATATCTCCGGAGAAATGTATTCAAACAATATATCATTTTGTCAAGTCCCACCTACCAATAATTCAATGTAAAATTGTACATGTAGCAATTAGATTTCATATGTTGTTCACAATTTTTTTTCTTTTTATTGAAGGCTGGGAGGGGGTATTCACAATAACTCAATTAATATAGATAAGAGAAGATTACAAATGAATTACTATAAAAAAAATCACATAATTGGGCTATGTTCACTTCATCTTATTTTGCTGAACTGGAATTATTTTTACTGAAACAAAATTATATTTGCTGAACTTAAAATATTTTTTATA